TCTTCGTGGGAAAATCACGACTGGCCTGTGAAGAATCCTTCCTGTGCTCAGAGGCGGGCTGGGCCTAAGCCAGCTCCCTGTGGCTGAAGTCACTTCACCAGCCAGGCAGGGCCCTTGGGGCCGAGCTGGGGGCTGTCTTTTCTCCGTCACTCAGGGCATGCCTGCCAGGCTTGGCACAGGCTGAGTGACCGATAAACTTGGGAGGAAGAGAGAGGATCCCGGACCAAACCCTCAGCACTGAGGGGAGATGTCAATTCACTTCCACCTAATAACTCCGCAGGATCAGCAGGCGAACACACACATTCATTACCAAGTCTAATTAGGCTGGCAGACAAGTGGCATTAATCATTTTTGACTGTACCTGGGATTCAAGCCCCCTTCCCTCCATAATCAGAAATTTTCATGCTCTGATGAAGAGGGGGGACAATTAAGCCCACATTTAATCCTTTCAATTTCATCTTTTGAGAAGACAGGAAGCAGGGAGGAGAGGAAACAGGATACAGCTTGGGGACCTCAGAAGCCTCCCTCAAAGCATTCCAGGTCTGTTCTCTGCCCCCAAACACACACACACACACACACACACACACACACACACACACACACACCACTAGGACCTTTCCCAAAGAGAAGAGCCCAGTTAGAGCCAGCAGTGGGAGGAATCACAGGTGGGGGATTCTACTCTCTTTAACAACTCAACGTCCATTTCTCTAACCTCCACAGCCAAACACGAGCCTAAATCAATGAAAACACTTCAAGCCACACACTTCAGTGCTGCTGGGTGTGCTGGACAAATAAAATACTTTCCAAGTGCCCAAGATTTCTAGGTCTGCTACAGGAAAACTCAGTGGCAATGTCCCAGTCACCCCTTTTACAAAGAACTCATGGCCAGAGAGGATTCCACACGATCCAGGGGCTGTCATGTGGGTGGTTCTAGTCTTTACAGAGAGGCAGGTTGAGCCCAGCCACTAATGAAGTGACAAGACAGAGCTGGGAGGGCTGGACAAGGAGCCCTGTGCGATATCAGTCTCCCTCACCCCAGAAGGTCCCCTGCCCCTGAGGTCTCATGGCAAATGCTTCCTATTCACATCATAATTAAACATCTATCACAGAAGAGGGGTAAGACAATGAGCCCCAGCGCCCCCCTTTCAACCCTGTAATTCCAATCACTTAACAATTCATAGCTCTGAATGATGCTGCCTCCAAGGAAGACTCTAGACACCCACTAGCAGCATGCCCAAGCATCCCTCCTTGAGTGCTGAGCTGGTCTTAGGTTTCCCCATTTTCCATACTTTCCATAGTCCAGGATGGCTTCCATATCCACAAAACTAGATGAAAGGTAAAAGGTCAACTCTCTGTGCCTTCTACAGAAGACAGGGTCCATAACCTCTAAAGGACATTACCTGTTACCAAAGCCAAAGGGCAGCCAGTGAGTTTCTGGCTTGTTTGCTGTTGACACTGCCCTCCCAGAATGCTGGAAATGGATCCTCACCAGTGCCACTGTCCCCATCCTAAAACATACACATGCATTCACAAAATTCTCTCTGTCTCTCTTCCGATCCCCACTGGATTTCCTTCTCCATCTAACAAACATGATTTCTTTAATCCTGGAAATTAATATTAACTCTGAGTCTCCCTGTTGGCAAATCCAGCATTAACCAGAGTCAGTTATAGACCTAGATGTGGAAGTAGGAGTAAACTTAAGTTAGAGGGGCTTTCACTAAACAGACAGGCACGCACCTTTCTAAAAGTCTCCCTCAGGGGCACCTGGGTGGCACAGTCGGTTGAGAGTCAGACTTCGCTCAGGTCAAGATCTCGAGGTCCATGAGTTCGAGCCCCACATCGGGCTC